GCCCGGCCCTTGACCCCTCACCTTTGCCCCTGGGCTCCTAAGATGACCCTTGACCCCTCCCCAGGATCCTTTGAGACCGCGGCCATGACACCGGGCCCTTCCCCAGCCCCTCACAGCAAAATGGCGTCCTCCATCCCACAGCACGGTGCGCCAAAACCCTTCACCTCACGCAGCTGCAGGATCCCTAAAGCTGAGCTTATATTGCATCACAGCAGGGCCTGAGGAGCAGCGTTGACGAAAGCTTCAGCGTTGACGAAGGCTTCAGCCCAACGAGACGGCGGCTTTTTCCTCAGCTTTTGCCCAAAAAACAAATTAAAGAAGCTTAAAAGCGACTGGCAGCAGCAGGAAAATGGGTGAGGAGAGGCAGGCTGTACCCCAAAAGCATCCACGGTCTTCCTCAAGCCCTGCATTTCACAAGCCGCCTCCCTTTCCAGACCCAATTTATTCCTTTATTACCTGAACTGAAGTGCAAACGGATGAAGGACACACTTTTATTTCAAATTATGAAAGAAATTGCTATAAATTAAGTAAAGGATGAATGATTATGGCATCTCGGCTCTGCCTGGTGTAAATTGAACCTAATTATTCCAAGGAAGAGAGCAATCCTTGAACTCCAGCAAGGTTCGCTCAATGGAGCTTGAAAGGAAAGAGAAAAGATGTGGAACAAGGAGAAAATCTTCTATTCCAGTGGGAGAACCAGGAAAACTCCTGGAACAGCAACAGCTCGTCGTGAAGGAGGGGAGCAGTGGTAGAGTAAGACCCTCAGGTCAACTTCTCTCCTTCAGAGGGTAAAAACAGGGCGAGGGTGTAATGCCGCTCCCCCAAAATATCCCCATTTTGTGGCTCAGCCATTTTGTGCCTCAGCCATGCGTGTTGCTCCTCGAGGGATTTTTTTCCTGCTTTTTTTTTTTTTATTTTAATCCACATAAACCCAAGAAATTCCACAGTTCTGAGTTGCACGAGGAACAACCTCCTTTTGTTTGCGCTGCTGCCACTGCGTGATTTCATTTGATGTTCCAAGTTCGCGGGCGCAACTCCTAGAAAACGCGATGAAGGAGGCAGAGCAGGAGCGGAAGCGTTGCGAGATAGTTTGAGGGGGGAAATAAAAGCTCCAAGGGCACAGAGGGGATTATTCCACCCCTCTCAGATGCCAGAATGGCACAGACAGAGGCTGATAATTATTTTCAACAGAATTAGGAAAAATCCTGGAGAATACAGAGCTCGACAAAGAGAACCCCAGCGATTTTAGACAGAAGGGCTGAACAAATGCCTGAGCTACTTCGGTAGGATGTGGAAGATGGATTGGTGGCACCTAAAGGAAATCTTTACCCGCTAAATCTGGAAATTATCACAGCAGCCAGGTATTAGAGCTGAGAGAAAATGATTTCCTGATTCTGGAAGGAAATGGAGAGGATTTAAGACCTGTATTAATAACAAGTGACCATTTCAGCACATTGATTGGAGACTCACAAAATCCCATAGTTATTTCCATACCTTAGGGAAATACTTACAGATTACATACGGATTTCTAGCCTGGAAACATTCAGACTATGAAACAATGCTCTGGGTAATATATTCTTGAAAGAAGTCCTTAATTTAATACCATCTTGTTTATGTGTTTCTCATCTAGAACAATTAAATTAACATGAAGCTGTTGGCAACTTCACAGTCAGTGTAAGGAGTTAAATGGGTGCCACCGTGCTGCGTTATCAGTATGTTTCTATATGTAACACCACAGAAACAAGTTCTACCAGCTGCCTTTACTTGCTGATAACGGATAGATATCCCAGCAAGCTCAAGCACCTCAAAACTGCTTGCTGCAAGATGCTCCCCACAGCCTCAGAGACCTCGGAAGGAAGCAGAGCTACGAGGCTTGGGCACATCCGCAGGAAATCTTGCCAGGAGATGGGGCTGCCTGCTCCGAAACCCCCCAACACTCCCCTCAAAACCTCCTGCAATCTCCTCCCCAGATCATTCTTGTTTAGGTGCTATGAAAATACCACTTTAGAGGAGGAAAGAAGCAGGCTGCGCTGGGCACAGGGGTGATCGGGCAGGAGTTAGATTGGTGCACGTGGTTATAATTATAATTATTAACTAACATGATAAAATACCCAAGAGCATTAGCAGAAACTGAGATCTTGGCTGAACAATCAGAAAATCCGAGTTAAATCTGCTACCAGCCCCAAGCCAGGGCCACTGCCGAGGGTATGGCAGTAGCTGTAGCAGACATAAGGGTGTTCTGGGGAAAATAAAACACCCTTATTTATGCTGAGCTGCATAAATTTGAATTGCAGCGCTTAACTGCGTGTTCTTCAACAAATCAACGCGGGATACGGCCAGCAGATGTATGGAGCGTGGCGGGAAGCAAGCCAAAGCAACAATTCAGCTCGCTTTTCCTTGGGGAGAAGCGGCAGCATCCAAAAATCATCGTGACGGCCTTAAATCCAGCGACGGCCTTAAATCAAGCGACGGCCAGATGTATAGCACCTATATCCTAAAGCCTGTCCCTCATAGCAGCCAGCACGCAGGAGGAGCTGCAGTGAACTCTACGCGATCGCTTACTCATCAGCAGTTTTCTCAAGATATAGTTCGTTCAGGGAAAGCATTTGCAGGGGAGTTGGCACAAAAGGATTTTAACACCGGCTGACTTCTCCGAGCCCTTCCTGGCTGATTCCCTCGCCTCTCCTCTTCTCCGCTCACGTGCTCTGAGTCTGCCGCATCTCTGGGGACGAGGAGCTTGGATGTTCCTGCGGATCACGGGCAAACCGAGGTCCATCCTGCTCGGCTTCGAGCAGTCTGAGGGGGTTTTAGTGAGCACGACTAGTTAAGACCGAGGTCCATCCTGCTCGGCTTCAAGCAGTCCGAGGGGGTTTTAGTGAGCACGACTAGTTAATTGTTGTCAGATGTTTGGAGTTTACTACCTGCATCCTAGAGGAGCGCAGAGCCATGAAAACCTTAATGTTACATATACAAGCACTAAGCATTTCCTACGCAGCATATCTATATCTGCACTTAATTCAAGGATTTTGACTCGGAACACAAACCCACAGCAGTATTTAGTGTATAAGGACGCAGCTACGTTGCAGCCATCAAGCCCTAAGCGCTCCTGAGAAGCTGGATAAGCCCCGACCTCATCCATATGGCAGCAGAGATGGCGATCTGGGCTCAGCACCTCCTCGCACACACCAGCTGCCTCTCGAGAAGGACTCGCCCCACGGCCAGACCTTTGTTTGAAAGGGAATGCAAAGCTCCAAGTCCAGAGGGAAGGGCTGTTGTACAATTAATCCATCACCAGAAGGTAGAAAGCTCGGCAGAATGGCACGGGGGAGTGTCTGCAATGCATAATGTGCCTGTTAATCAAACTGAAAAGTAGTTGTTGAAGGGATAAAATTCACCTCTGCAAGGGGAAGCTGGGTTCTGCTAAGAGGAGACAAGACGTACCTTCCAACCCAAACTTCAGGAACACCGAGGTTCAGGCTGTGCCCCAGTTACACAAGAAGGACATTAATTACAAATTGTTCTTTCACGCTGATAGCTGATTTTCCCTCCCCTTGTTAATAATCAGGGTGGAAAAAACAACAGGTAGAAGATAACCGGTGCAGCAAGCAGGCCAAACTCCGCTCGCTGTTCCCAGCTAGAAGTTCTACAGATGTTTTGACTGATGCCAACGTTTCTGGAGCAAACGCAAGGGGACAAGAGAAGCCGCTGTCCCTGCTGACCAGGAGGTAAGGAGCCTCCTGCCAAAAAACCAGCTGGGAAGCAGCGTATTTAACACACAACCTGCACCCCTCAATGGTCCCTCTTCTCAAAATTAATTTCTCAAGCCAGTATGTTAGAGAAATGGGGATGGCAGAAAAAGGAAAACAAGGGAAAAAAGCAGAAAGGGGAAGTATAAGGAAGGTATAACTCACTATATTACAAATAAAGGTGGGTTTTGTCTGTTTCTAAAAAGAATGGCTGGCTCACGGAGATCTCAGCACTTTCAGGACCTAATATTTAAGGTGACAGGCAGCCTACCCCGATTAAAGAACTTCAATTTTCTTATGTAAACCTTAAATCAAAGGTATTTCCCTATAATGCTTCCTGACAACACACCCCGATTAAAACATTGATCCTCAAACACAGTAAAATGCAAGCAGAGCACAGGTCTTAACACTTCAACAAAGCCAAGCCTAGTTGTTTTCATCAGGATGGAACCAGCTAATTAAATCTAGATCAGAGGGTTTCTACAGAGAAAAGCAGGAGGAAACCTAGAAATCACCACAAAGCTCTGCTGAGCAAGGAGGAAAAAACCAGCAGCTGTAAAAGGAGGCAACAGAATTGAGACTCTTTTCTTGGCACAGGCGAAATTTGAACAGATGATGGTGGCTAGCTGAACACCCGCCTGCCTTCAAAGCAAAAAAGTGCGAAGATTACGCTTCTGAGGCAGCTTTCCAGCTTTCTAACCCTGCACCTCGTCTCGTCTTTTACAGCCTTCAAAATCACCCCCCCTGTCACCCTGAAGTGCCACCAGCCTCCTCCAAGGCACCCGGTCCATTCCCGCAGCTAACGGCGCTCAGCGGTAATTACACCGCTCTGAGCTCAAACGGGCAAAGCGAGATCTGGGGATCAGGCTTAATATGCTAAAACACCCCAAAACTGATAGATGTGCGACTAAACCCATGGAAAAGGTGGGAGCAAGCAGCGGCCGACTCCCTCGACACCCAACAGCTCACAGGGTCGACCTTGGGATCAAGCCATACCCGCACAAGAGGGAACAAACCAAATTCGTTACAGCCCCCATGAAGTATTTAGTGACTCAGGCTATTAATGATGTTTGGAAAAGAATCTTCCAGGACTAGTTTGAGATGTCCGTCTGCAGAAGACGGGTTCACCGCTTGGGAAGGCGAGTGGGCGATGCCAGGATAAACAGTTCAGGACCTGAGCTCAGCGTTTTCGCGGGTAATAAATCTCCCTGGCGTGGAGCAGGTGAAATGTTCCCTCTCATGGAGCTCCTCTCATCAGTCTCTCGCTCCCGTCTGCTCGCAGAGGACTTCACGGGCGCAGCTGAAGATGCGGTAAGTCGCTGTCACCAGGGACCCATGCTGGAGGAAAGGGTTTGAGGTCAGGAGCAGTCTCAGCACTTTGTCTTCACATTAATGCTTAAATTTCCCTTTCTGCCCATCGCTGGGGGAAAACTTCTCTTGTACAAACAATTTACACCAAGTTGGAGGTTTGTAAGACTGGATTTGGCGTCACGCCGGTGATTCAAGGCTAAGCACGTCCTTATCCATCAACCCTGCAAACCCATCCTGCAGGAAAGCTCCCAGCCACCTCTCTCCATAGCAGGAATAACCTCTGCGGTGTAATAGAAACTAATTTCGTTATTTCTCCCTCATTTCAGGAAGGAGAATCTGTACTCCGGGCGATGATTAACCAATGACAGCTTCAAGTAAGTGTTTACTGCTACCCCAGTCAGCTCCATCTGCAGTGCTGAAGAGAGGGAAGCTGAGCTGAACCCAAATAACAAAGCAGAGCGTGGAGTCGCAGGATTTGTAGACTGGTTCTAAGCCTCCAACCTCTCACAAGCTTTACCAGGGCAACAGAAATTAAGGTAGAGTCACAGGTAATCTCAGGATAGTCCTTTTATCTCCACCCACCAAAACATTCACCTTTAAAATGAAAGCATTTTACAAACAATACAATGTTGACACCACTTAGTTTCGCTCCGCGTTAAAAGGAAGAATAAAACATCAGGGAGAATATTACAGTCACGTGGAAGTTATGCAGAACCTTAATGGCGTACACTGCAGAAATTAAAAAACCGGAATAGAATTTCTGATGTTTCCAGACAGACAGGCTAAGGGGACAAACCACATCTTTGTTAAATATAGAAAAGTTTCAATTCAAGGGGAAGAGAAGAGGTTTCGTTTGCCAGATCGTGAAGTAGCACTGGTTTGCACACATGCTCAAAAGGAAATTCTCCTAGTTCAAAGCCATCTAAAAAACAGAGACCGCACAAAACCTAGCTACTAAAATGAAGATTTGGTAAAAAAAAAAAAAATTCCTCTATTTTCAAAAAAAAAAAAAAAAAAAAAAAAATCACTTTACAGGTAAAGGCTCCCACTGCCTAAGTGAGTTTAGTAGAACGAGAACTCAAAAGATGTGCTATGAAATTCACAGATACAGTTATGTTTTTTAAAAAAACAAACCAAAGTACGTCATGTCTTTTACACATCAGCTTCCCCCTCCAGAGTTTACTCCGCGTCCTCATCCTCTTGTGCTGCAGCAGCTTCCTCACTTTCTTCCTCCTCATCTTCTACCTCCACACCTTCTACTGGCTGTTGCTCTTCTTCCTCGGGGAGAGATTCCTCTGCAGGTGGGGAAGTCTGCTCCTCCGCGTTTTCTGCATCCGGCTCCACCTCTGTTTGTGCTTGTGGTTGTGCCTCAATTTCTGTCTCTGTCCCCGTTTCTTCCTGCTCCCCTTCATTTTCAGCTCCTTCTGGGTCCTCTTCAGGATCCTTGTTTTCGTCGTCTAAATTTTCCTCCTCTGGATTTTCTTCTTCTTCTGGATTTTCTTCTTCCGGATTTTCCTCCTCTGGATTTTCTTCTTCCGGATTTTCCTCCTCTGGATTTTCCTCTTCCAGATTTTCCTCCTCATCCTTGTTTTCATCTGCTCCTTCTGCTGTTCCTTCCTCTACATTTCCACTGGCTCCCCCTTCTCCTTCCTCATGCTCCTCTTTTTCTTCTGGGTCATCCGTGAAAGGATTCTCACCCTGAAAAGAAAAGACAAACATTCATCTGCTGCGAGTTTATCTCTAGCTCCTTCAAGGAATTCACACCGGCTACACGCCAGCAAACCCTCCCAAGAAGTTCAGTGTTAAGGCTGCACCAAAAGCAGTCAAGTGAGCAGCTCCTGAAAGCAGATGCCACCTCGAGAATTCAAACCAACGCTAATATTAGCGGCAGCAGCGCAACGGTCAGGTCTCCGGCCCAGGTTTAAGCTGGAGGCCTCGCTCACCCTGTTCGCTCAGGGTTCGGTGTAACATGTGGGGCAGAAGATGACAGATGACAGACAGTCTCTCACTGTAGAGACTCGATGACCAGCAACCAGGAATCCGATATATTATCAAAAAACTCCCCAAATCGCCTCAAGGTTCACCTAGTAAGCACCCTCAGTAGTCAACGGCAGCTACCGCAAAATTCCTAAAGCACAAAAGTGTTGCTACTCCATACCAAGCCGCTCCGCAAATACCCACCTTCAGGTACCGCTCCAGTTTCTTACTGATTAGTTTGTTGTTGAGAATACTCCTCGCAACTACTAGCGATGATTTCTTGGACTGCTCCATCATAGCCTGTATGGGAGGACAAAAAAACACACTTAGATTTTGTCCTGAATTAACTTACAAGGCCAGTAATTAGTCACAGCTCAGCAGAGGACGACAGGCTACGGAGCACACTTCAGTATTTGGGTAGGTGACAACACAGCAATATTTAAGAAATCTGCGATTTTCTGCACGTTCCCTGAATTCTGTGCTTCGGAAAGGTATCAGGCAGCCAAGGAAAAGCCACGTGGGTGGTTTCACCCACTTCCACCAGCGGGATCGTTTCATCTTTCGGTCTCTGGGGACTGAAGTTGAAAGTCGGCGCGTTTTGACTCTGCTGAGGTGTGGGGAGGGAAGGACGGCCGAACAGCCGAGCGCTGCAGGTGGTAACGCAGCCTGCTCAACATCGCTACAGTAACAAGGTTTAGTCGCGTGCCGATATATGTATTTTATACCTAGAAAGAGCTGTCGTCTGACAGCCATCACCTCGGATCACTGCTCGTGGGTATAGTAAAGCTTGTAACAACATCATCCTGTATGTACGTGGAAGTGGGGAAGTCACAAAGCTGTTTATTTTGCAAGAAACAGGGCAAGAGACACGAGATCTTGTTTCCAGCTTGGCACGAGGCTTTGCTGAAGGTGCTTTAATCCCGCAAACGCCTTGCTCGACAGCTTTTGCAAAGGGGAAGTTTCTGGGGACACAAGAACAGCCAAAATTCACTGCAGACTGTGGAGAGAAATTTCTGGGGACATAAGAACATCAAGATTAACTGCAGACCGTGGAGAGAAACACTGAAGAGGGTGAAGAAAAGTTCTCCCTGATTTCAGGAACCACTAAAACCATCTGAAGTCATGCTCCTCCTATGGCAGCTGAAGCCTGCAAGACCCCCCGCGAGGTGCCAGGCTGCCCACTCACCCGGCGGTTGTGGTTGTGGTCGAGCGACTTCAAGTGTTTCTGGATGATGCCGTATTGCATCGGGATGAAGAGGTCACAGGCAGCACAGTGAGCCGCCTCCACCTTTTTAATAAAATGCTCCATGCCAACATCTGAAAAGGACGGTAAGAACAGTATTAACCGAAAAATAATGTGGGGATCTGTGCTGTGTTAGGGATTTTACTCCAGCCTCCATTACAAACTCATCTTTAACCACCACAAACTCATCTTTAACCACCACAAACTCATCTTTAACCACCACAAACTCATCTTTAACCACCACAAACTCATCTTTAACCACCACAAACTCATCTTTACAGTCTTCCCAGGGAGCAGGAGAGGAGCCAAGCGGAGCATGCGCTATATATACAGCAAGGCTAACAGAATACCAGTGGCCCAGATATAAGCCCGACTGCACGCGCAACGATGAGCGACGCGAGCTGCAGCTGCATCAGCACTGCGGGTTTGCAAAAAAAAAAAAAAAACCCACCACAAACTCATCTTAAACCACCACAAACTCATCTTTAACGCTTCCACCAGCATCAAAACAGTCTTCCCAGGGAGCAGGAGAGGAGCCAAGCGGAGCATGCGCTATATATACAGCAAGGCTAACAGAATACCAGTGGCCCAGATATAAGCCCGACTGCACGCGCAACGATGAGCGACGCGAGCTGCAGCTGCATCAGCACTGCGGAAAAAAAAAAAAAAAAAAGAAAAAATTCTCTTCAGCCAGCTAATCATTTAGCTAGCGTCCACAAAGCCGGGTAATAACCTGAAGTGGCTGACGGTGCAGACTGTAGGTTTTACTCTTCAGCAACACCAGCACATTCCCCCACTCCCCTTTTTACTGTTTTTTTTTTTACTATTTTACTATTTATAGAGTTGACAAGGCAGCCGATGCACACGGAAGGAACTCTTGCAGGCACACGGGTAGTAAATCTTACCTTGTGTAAGATCTTGGTCCCTATAAATCTGCTGAATAACCGCGTTAATGTCTTCAATCGCTTTACGCCGCTCTTCAGTTTTCCTAGTTTTATTAGCAACATATTCCTGTATGGCAGAATTAATTATTAATTTGGTATTAATCTTTTTTTGCTCCCCACTTTGAGGTGCATCTCTCTAGCGTGCTCATCCTAAACGTCCTACAAATCCCACCATGCATTGTCCTGCAGGTAGCACTGCCTTTCAGCTCTTAAGTCACCAGCCACCAAAATCTGTGGTGGGCAAGTACTTTATTTCCTACCAGTGCAACCAGTAAGACTAGAGGTTAAGCGACCTGTTCAAAAGAAGAGGGCAGTCACGGCAGAGCTGGAGTAGCACCTCTGATGCTTTAGCCCAACTTTACTCCACCTTCTCTAGCAGTTTCCACCACAGTTACTTAAAGATGCAGTTTAGGAGCTTTACAGTATCTCCAAAATAATAATGATAATAATGATAATAATAA